ATATCCTATGCTGCTGGCTGCTCGAGGCATGGAGCTGCCCAAGGGGCTGGGGGCTCTTCCCACCACCTCCCACAACCTCATGGGTCTCACTGGGGCAGGCAGGGAGGGGGACAGAAGGGTGCTGCATGGATGCTCTAGGCATTTGGGTACTCTCTTAAAGGGGACCCAAAAGGGGCTGAAGACTCCTCCGAGGGCTGTTAGGTGCACAACTGCCATTGGTTTGGGGCTTAGAGCTTTCAGCTTGTCCCTTGCATTGCCCCGTGTATACCATGAGCACAGCCTGGCTGCCACCTCTTCCCCGGGGCTTTAGTATGTCTCTGAGCTGTGCTGCAGAGGAAGGATTTCTCTGCAGAGCTCCCTGGGCAGGTAGCACGGACAGGGGATGCTGAAGCAGACAAGGGAATCACCCACATACAGCCATGGACATCCCCTCCATGACAGGGCCACAGGGAGCTCACCAGTGATCTCTGACAGGGTTTTGGGATGGGGAGGAGAAGTGGAACAGAAAAAGTGAGAAAACTTGTGGGTTGAGATAGACCGTTTAATAGGTAAAGCAAAAGCTGCACACACAAGCAAAGCAAAATAAGGGGGGAAGGTGCTCATCCATTGCCAGCAGAACATGGCTCCACCCTGTGTAATGGTGACTTGGGAAGACAAATGCTGTAACTCCAAACATCCTCTCATTTCCTCCTTCTTTCCCCAGGACAGTTTAATAAGGAGGAAAAAAAATAAAACCAACCAACCAAAAAATGAAAATGACCAAAAAGCCCCACCAAGTCATGCAAAAGCCATCACTCACCACCAAGACAGATGGTGCCCAGCCAGACCCCAAGCAACAGCCACCCTGGCAGCCCTGCTGATGGTGCTTCCAGCTCCTGGGAACAGGATTTTGGCTGCAGAACCTCCAGGGGTGTTTTCACAGCAGAGACAAAAACCCATCCGGAGCTGAGGGATGACCCTGACACGATGCGGTTCTGGGAACCAGAGGTCTCACGGGAAGGAGGCAGGTGGAGATCTTCTAGGGTGTGCCAGGAGGTGCTGCAGCTTGAGGAACCCTTTCAGACTGTTCTTTGCTCTTCAGGAGCCTTCAGAGGATGGAGACACCCTGTTTGCTTGGTCTTGGTGCCCTCTCCTGACAGCTGTGGCATGGATGCAGCACAGACCCCAGGGCTCTGGCTGGCTGGAGAGGTGCAGCCCAGCACGATGCAGGGGATGAGCAGAGCATGCCTGGGAGCCCAGAGCAGAGTGAGGAGGAGCATCTCCTCACCTGGAGGAGCCATCACTGGGGTCAAGCAGGGCCTCACCTCTATCCTGGTCCTTCATCCACCTTCCTCAGCGTCGGCTCCTGGCAGAAACTTGTTGGCACAGAACAAGCATCACTGTGACCTCAGCCCCATTTGAGCCCATCGAATGGCCTCTTGCCCCATCCCATGTGCATGTGAGTCCCACCAGCCCCTGCCCCATGGTGTATGTGGGTCCCTGCCAGCTCCCTGGCCAGGGGTCAGCCTGCTGAGCCAGAGCAGGTCTGCACAGGACCTTGCCCTGCCAGGCTCCCTGGGAAGGTCTGGCCCAGACCACCTTTCCTACCCAGTGGCATGTGCTGGCCGTGCTGTGCCAGCAGTGCAGGGCAGCCTGGGCCATCAGGAGCTGAAGGAAGCTGGGGCTGAGGAATAGGAGGCAGCTAGTGCCCCTGAGCAGGGGGAGCCAGCTGTGGGCATCCAGCATGGTGGGGTGGGGGCCAAGGGCTTGGGCTATCCTTTGGAGCTGCTTTCTCTGACCAGCACAATCCTCTGTGACTGCTGTCACCTGGGATGGGGACAGGACTGGGGCTGCGAGGCCACTGCCAGTGCTGCAACAGCATCAGGAACCCCCGGCAAGTGGGTCCTGCACAGCTGTCAGGAGAGGGCAGCAAGACCAAGCAAACTGGGTGTCTCCATGGTCTGAAGGCTCCTGAAGAGCAAAGGCAAGAGTTAAAAGCATTCATCAAGCTGCAGCACCTCTTGGTGCACCCCAGACATCTCCACCTGCCTCTTGGTGCCCGTGAGACCTCTGGTTCCCAGACCCACAGGCACCCACCTCTGGTGGTCCAAACAGGGTCCATGGAACCCAAGAACAGACACAGGAGGGACACTTGGAACGCCAGGGCAGCCTTTATACCTGTATATTAAAAAGTTGGGTTTCTTCTGCTTTAATTTTTTTTCTCTCCCATACATTTGCATTACATCAGCTTTATCCCCTGCTGAGTAATTGCCCACTGCTTAGACACATAATGTTACCACAACCAATAATTAATTGAACAGACATGTAGGTTACTATTATAGCCATTAGCACTAAACATATAGATTTGAACAACATCTTAAGTACATTTCCAAACCATCCACCAATATCTAGTGTCCAACCCTACGCATCAAAAGGGCATGGGGTTTTTTTGTCTTCATTTTATGAAAAACCTTTAGGTGGCTTTGGATTGTCATTACATCAGTTTCTATTCTTTTGTCTTGGTATACACAGAAACAACTGGTGTTAATGAGATCTTTTAATGCTACCTGGTTTTGTATCACCACTTGAGATCTAGATTTGACCTCTCTTTGTCAGGTCTTTTTGCTATCTACTGTAGCGTTTGTAATACTATTTCCCCCGACACATTTACTATTGCCTTTTCCCATTCTATTATTCTCAGACATGGCACAAAGGCTCTGGGTGAATTTATGAAAGTCAGTTGTTGTTATAGTTTCACCTTTGCCTTTTTTGACCATGGTTGATGGTGATGAAGGCTTCCTCCAGAGAGGCTTTTGATGGCATCAGTGTCTGAGACCAGCACCCCCAGTGTACAAGTGCCTTGCGCTCTTCTGTTTCCTTTGGCATTTATCATATGCAGAGGCTTCACATATCCTCTTAAACTATTCATTTTTATGGTTACTCAAAAAACCAAATCATTGTATGAGTCAGAGAATGTTTCCCATCTCTACACTTTTTTTTTTTGTCCATGCCTACCCACTTTAATGTCTGAAATAGGGTTATTCCTCAGTCAAAAGAATTGTATTCAATTATAAATTATAGTGAGGTTGCAGTTGGTCTGGACACAAATAAAATCATGTGCATGGCCCATCCTTCCTTGTCTCTCTACACAGATGGCTACTTGCCTAACAGGCAAATCTGGGGGATGTCCTGGAGCTCTACAGCTGGAGAAGAGGCTGTGCCACTGGTGGGGATGGCCTGGGAGGTCTCTGGGAGCACCCCAGGCACAGCAGGTTTGAACGTGCTGGAGAAGTTTAAAGCCAAGTCCAAAGGTCCACTGCAGGGACAGGGACACAGAGGAAATCCCAGTCCTCCAGAGAGCCTCATGGAGCCTCTCCAGGCCTCCAAATACCAGACATGCACTGATTTCCTTTATGAAGAGCAGATAGTGGAGACATCTACTAATGCTTTTGATGGGACTGAGAATATGGATTAATTAGCTAAGGGGAAGGAGGAGGCATGTATTAACACCTCTGATGGGACTGGGGACAGGCTTAATTAGCTAGGACAAGGACTGTGTGCCTCGGAGAAGCCTGAAGAGGAAGCTCAGAACTTGGCAAATGAGGTTTCTATGTGAGATGTTGGCTGGAAAAAGCCATTAGCTCAGTTATCCCTTAACTACAGCCCTTCACTTTGAACCAGTGTCCAGGAGGTGGCTTGTGGGACTTGAGGATCTGTACATCGGGGACAGGTAGGAGCTGCAAAAGGAAAGGTGGAAGAGCCAGGGAGGATGCAGAGACTGTAGGAGGGGGCTCAGCGGCTGTGTATTGGTGTCTTCCTGCAGAACCCTCTTCTGGAGAAAGTGGCATTAGAAACCAGTAGTATCGTGCCCACCTCTCTGCATGGTCACCCTGCTGCCATGACAGATCACCAGACCTGATGTCCTACAGAACACATCTTCCAAACCAGAGTTGTCAGCACATTTGATTTGTTTCCTTCTCCTTTCTTCTTCCAGACAAGTCGTGCAAACATGAGATAATCTTCAGAAAAGTCCATTTCAACCTTTCTTTTCCTCCAAGCCCTGGCTTGCCTCATTTCCAAGCCACAGCCAAGTCCCTTCCCATGCTCCTACTCACCATCATGCCACATGGGTTCCCACCAGGTCCTCACCCCCTTCTTGCACACAGACCACAGCTGCATCTCACCTTCCAGGGAGCAGACCTCTGCATGGAAGTTGGGCTGATGTTCACCAGTGCTCCATGGTGCTGCTGTTGTGGTCTGTGCCACCTGCCCTTCCTGCACTCAGGGTCCTCTCTGGGGCCTGGGCTGACTCTGGGGGTTGTGGTAGGGTTTGTCCCATCTCCCTGCAGAAATGACCTGATGACCACAAGCCCTCACCCCTCTGACCTGACCTTCTTATTTAGATCCCATCACCAGTGTGGGAGGCAGAGGCAGTGCTTGGAAAGATTTGGGAACAGCCTGACTCTCCTCAGACACTCTGTGACTGTTGCCTTATTTCTTCCCCTTCTATAAAATCTCCTGAACCCACCAAAATAATTTCTGCCACCTCCTGCTCTGGGGTCTCTCATAGTTCAGTCCAGAGTGGCTTTTTCTGCCTGACATCCCATCCCATCCCATCCCATCCCATCCCATCCCATCCCAGTGCTTCACTGCCAAACCCAGTGCCCTCGGTAAGGCCAGGGTGGTTGCCAATGCTGGTTTGGAGGGGACTCATTAGTCACTTGCCTTTGATAACTTAGTCAAACCACCTAAACCTGTCAATGACCTTTTACTGCTCAGATTTTGGTTGTGTCTCCTGTTAGAAATAAACGTGCAAGCATTAAAGGATGTCTTGCCTTCACAGAAAGTTGTTTTTAATCTGATTTCCTGGGTAAATTTCAGTTCCTCCAACACCTCCTTGGAAGTCCCTTGAAGCCTTTTCTGCAGAAAGCAGAAGTGGCTGCCCCACTCCTTCGCCTCTTCGCCAAAATAAACAATGACAGAAATCCCCTTGTCCCTGGGAAGAGGCTTCTTAGAACATGTCCGAAATCTGTGGAAAAGCGGTTAAAGTGGGTGGCAAGCAGAGTATAAATTGCAGTGCGGCAAGAGCCAAAGCCACAAACACCGGCAAGGGCAGCACAAAGCAGGACAGAGGAAGAGCCCTCACACATCCACCATGCTTGCTGCAAGGACGGTCCTGCTGCTTGTGCTGTTCCTCACCTCCCTGCACCCTGCCGCAGGTAAGGCACCTCGTGGGCCACCACTGGGGTCAGGGCACAGGTTCCTCACTGGGGATGTCCCGTTGGGGAGGTCAGGCAAGAGACCCCAGCGGGGAGCAAGGACGGTGCTGCTGGCAGGAGGAGGAACCCCCTGGCCGGGACAGGGCAGCATGTTGTGGAGTGCAGGGAGGATGGAGAGGGTGCTGGGTGGCCTCAGCAAAGGCAGCCCAGGGGAGATGCTGCGGGAGCGTGGAGGAGACTCTGGCAGCATTTCCCCAGGTCTCAGCTGGATGAGCAAGTGGTTGGAAGAGCAGGGGGGATCATGTGCAGCTGAAATCCCCAGAACACCATCCTCAGACCGAGCACCCCAACCGCACCGTGTGCTTTGGCAGCTGCAGCAATGCGGGCTGTGGGGTCCCACGCTGTTCCCCTCCCCACTGTTGTCCTCGTTTCCCAGTCCTGTGCTTGCTGCCATGAAGGGAAACAAATTCCTGCCATGGGATGGGGTGGGAGCTGCTGAGAAGCTTCACGGCCTCCAACCTGTGTCCTGTGGTGTCATTGTCCAGCGGTGCAATTAGTTGCAAAATGCTACCAAGGGTGCTCAGTCTCTCTCTTCTTTTCCAGCCCACTTCTCACCCACTGAATGCTGCTTTAATCATGTGCAGAAACCCATCCGAAACATAGAGAGTTTCTACCACACGCCCAGAGACTGCTCCATGCCTGCAGTTGTGTGAGTATCTGGGGGGTTTGTCTCCCACTCCTGGCACAGTGTCACAGGTGGGAGCTACAGCAGCTCCCCTGTCCTGTCCCACCAGCAGACAGCCCAGTCCCAGCTGGTAGCATGTGCCTGGGGGGGCTGTGGGAGGAAAGTAGCTCTATGGGGTGAGCAGAGGGGAAAAAAAATTAGGTTTTGGTGATTTCTGCTAAGGCCAGTGGTCTGGAATGATTCCAAAATGTGCTATCAGCCCAAGGAGGGCACAGGCTGCTGGAGATGGGTCCAAGCCTCCATTCAGGATGGGGCACAGGGAGGGAAGTAGCGTATGGGGAGGGAACACAGTTCACATTTTCACTCTTTCTCCTCACTTTCTTGCTGCAGGTTTGTGACTGCCAACGGTGCTGAGATCTGTGCTGACCCCCAGAAATCCTGGGTGAAGAGAGTCATGAAAAGAATTCAGAAGAAAAAATGAAATCCTCCTTCTGCCGTCCACCATCCAACTCACCCATCCAGCCCGCCCACCGCTGGAGGAAGGAGGTGGTGCTCGGGGAGCCTCTCCCACAAGGTGATGGGTGCTGTCACTGCAGGCTGAGTCAGGCGTGCCCTGGCAGGACCGGGTGTCACAGCAGCATGGACCAGCTGGCTGCCACATCCCTCCCACTGACACTGCCCTCCCAGGATGTGCCCAGCAGAGCAAGTATTTATAATAAAGACTCACTACCACAAATTGCTCTTTGAATTTTTCCTGATCCTTCAGCCCAAGGAGTGGATCCTACAAGCCCAGGGCACAGTGCAACTGAAGAACCCCTTGGCCTCAGGCATGTGTTTCTCCAGGCTTGGAGCAAGCTGTGCCTGGTCACGGCATGCTTCACTGGGAATGTGATCGTTGGGGCTGGCTCTCAGCCCTGAGGTGAGGTTACCCTTACCCCTAGGTAAGGCTGGGGAGGGGTGGGAGCAGCATAGGACCCCAGCTCTTAACACCAGGCCCATTGACCATCATTTTGTGTCAGGGGTGCAAAGCGTACATGGGAAAACCTCAGAAAGGTGAAGGCAAGAAATGTGGTGTGTGCCATGAACTGATTCTCAACCCAAAGCCTCATCAGTGTTTCACACTCAGGATTGGAAAACAGGGCAGGGCTGTATTTTCTAGGATATTGAATGTACGCAGGGGACAGGAAAAAAGATCCTGAATGGCATTTCTGCCCACAAATCATAAGCACTGGTGAAAAATGAAAGCTGAAGTAGAATCAGATTCTGGGGAACAAACGTCTCATGGGTTGTGCTCAGCTGTTAGACACAAAGCTTCTGGGTTACACCGTCACAGCACATAACAGTGAAGGCCGGGATGGTCATGCTGCCTCTGAAGGAAAAGTGATGTGTAAGGAGCTGTGCAAGGTAGTAAGCTTGTGGACAGACACCCTCAGTCTGCATTTCATAAATTCTTTAAACCCTTTACTTATGAAACTAAGCAGCCTTCTCGAAACATTTAAATCTGAGGGTTATAAAGATTATTTTCCCCCTTTCTTGTTAAACACCACTGAAAAACAGAATTACAGAATCATTCAGGTTGGAAAAGACCCTTGAGATCGTCAAGTCCAACCATCAGCCCGACTCTACAAGTTCTCTCCACAACCAGAATATTACAAGTGGACAACACAATGCTCAAGGGGAAACTCTTGCCATGGGACACAGTTAATCCAGAAGTTTTTGACCTGCAAAAAGAGTGGTGTTGAACAAGATGTGTAAGGTGTCACAAGATGCTATTGCCAACATGAGGTGAGGAAAGCCAGCAAATTATCTAAAAATATTAGGAGGATGCCACATCACACCCTCTAGGAGAAAGGTGGTGATGGAAAATTGGGACAAATACTGTCTGCCCATATTACAGAGCTGCCTCTGATGAAAAAAAAAAATATTATGATTTTACTAGTCTCTATCCCTTCGTTAACAAAATAAAGCGACACTCCACAGGGCACGCCAACATTATTCCTGAAGATTTTACCACCCTGACAGCCTGTTTTGGGCAACAGGAACTGTGGTGACGTTCAGGACTCATCCAGACTCCCAAGGACCTCCCTGCTCTGGGACCACTCGTGAGGGAAGCTCAGGGATCACTCATGTGAGCTGACGAGAGATGCTCCAGGTGGGAACGGCACTGAACACGTGGTGACATCAGGACCCAAGATGCAGGAGGCGGCCCAGGACAAAAGGGCATCAATGAATAATGTCCAGGGTCTGCCCCAGGGGTTTGAACACAAGCATGTGCTGGAAGCACCCCTTGTCCACTATTTCTGGCAGGACTTAGCAACCATAGGAGAAGCAATTTTTAAGAAGGTTTTGGAAAAGTCATCACGTGCTTTAAAACATGCCAAAATCTTATGTCAGAAATACATAGATGTTGGCAGCTGCTGCATCATGAACTGCTCCATAAATACCTGTTATCAAAGCTGGGCAGGGCTTACCTGAAAGCCTTGGCAATAATTGCTTATTTCCCTCTAATAATTGTATGTGAAGCAGCAATGCCCGAACCATGTGAGTGCCCTGAGCACCAAGGCACCTGCCTGATGACAGGGCCCTGCTTCTGCTGGCATCTGCTCACCCTTGGACAGGGAAAACTCATCCTGGAGCCAGCTCATCCTCGTTAGGCACAGCCGAGCTCCATCCACAGAGCCCCACTCGCCATAGCCAGACCCATCCCACCTCGAGGGGGGCACAAGCTACCCCGCTGCCCACCTGCCTTCCCAGTGAGCAGAGACTGACAAAGCACACGGCTCCACACTAGCTCTTGCACATGGATGTGTATTTTAATAAAAATAATTCTGTCAATATACAGCAGAACGTCGATTTCTTTACCATATTTCCAGTATATTTTCATAGGCTTTTTTCTCAGTTAAAATTCCCCCCCCCCCCCCCCCCC